TACCCAAAATCACAGCAATTACAATGCTCCATGCAGGGAACCACCTGTGACCTCATGTACAGCGCTACGCTATATGGTGGCACTTCACAAATCAAACTTATTACTCATCTATAGATTTATCTGTAAAGAATAAGTCGGGGCGGCTGGACTGGCTGCGTTTTTTCGGAAGACGTTTCACCGATCATCCGACCAGCTCTCTCCATTCAGAACGACTTGTACAAAACATTCTCTGGGAATGAATCTGGTGAATGTCGCTCCGATCCACGTCATCCGTTACCGGCAACCAGGCGCTGAGGCATTTGTATAATTTGAGTCCAGGAGGTGTTATTAAAGGAGAAGTACGGGGTCGGGGCTTTCCCCCATAGTTCTCCTCAGGGTAACGGGAGGTCTCTAGAGACGATCACACGGGAAATATCCGCCTCCATTATAAGGGGGGGAAGATGGCGGGATACATTGTTTCCGGGTGATTTCGGCTCTCCGTACTTCTACTACAATGATCATCCGGAGAAAACACAAACAAACGAGTCAGAACTGAACCCAGCCAATGAATATACAGTATATAGAACCGGGACCGGGTCACTTACTGGCAGCCCGCTGGCGCTGTCCAGGTACACAATCACCATGGCGGTGGAAAAACCGTTCTGAGCCTAAACCGGGACAAGAGACGGGAGAGGTCAGAGGTCATTTATAGCATCACACAGAGAGCAGGAGGGAGAGGTCAGAGGTCATTTATAGCAGCCTATAGCGAGCAGGAGAGGTCAGAGGTCATTTATAGCAGCCTATAGAGAGCAGGAGGGAGAGGTCAGAGGTCATTTATAGCAGCCTATAGAGCAGGAGAGGTCAGAGGTCATATGTAGCAACCTATAGAGAGCAGGAGAGGTCAGAGGTCATTTATAGCAGCCTATAGAGAGCAGGAGAGGTCAGAGGTCATTTATAGCAGCCTATAGAGAGCAGGAGAGGTCAGAGGTCATATGTAGCAGCCTATAGAGAGCAGGAGGGAGAGGTCAGAGGTCATTTATAGCAGCACATAGAGAGCAGGAGAGGTCAGAGGTCATATGTAGCCGCCTATAGAGAGCAGGAGGGAGAGGTCATAGGTCATTTATAGCAGCCTATAGAGCAGGAGAGGTCAGAGGTCATATGTAGCAACCTATAGAGAGCAGGAGAGGTCAGAGGTCATTTATAGCAGCCTATAGAGAGCAGGAGAGGTCAGAGGTCATTTATAGCAGCCTATAGAGAGCAGGAGAGGTCAGAGGTCATATGTAGCAGCCTATAGAGAGCAGGAGGGAGAGGTCAGAGGTCATTTATAGCAGCACATAGAGAGCAGGAGAGGTCAGAGGTCATATGTAGCCGCCTATAGAGAGCAGGAGGGAGAGGTCATAGGTCATTTATAGCAGCCTATAGAGCAGGAGAGGTCAGAGGTCATATGTAGCAGCCTATAGAGAGCAGGAGGGAGAGGTCATTTATAACAGCCTATAGAGAGCAGGAGGGAGAGGTCATTTATAGCAGCATATAGAGAGCAGGAGAGGTCAGAGGTCATATGTAGCAGCCTATAGAGAGCAGGAGAGGTCAGAGGTCATATGTAGCAGCCTATAGAGAGGTCAGAGGTCATATGTAGCAGCCTATAGAGAGCAGGAGAGGTCAGAGGTCATATATAGCAGGATATAGGAATGTCATACACAGTGCAGGAGGGGATAGGAAGGCACATTGCTGCAACTGATTCGGCTACATTGTTCCCGTATTGTAACGTCTTCTGTACAGAGAATCATTGTCAGCAAAGATCAGACGGCGTCCGGGGGCCCCTCTTGTGTAACATTGGGGGAGGGGCTCAGATCTGTCAGATATACGGATTGTTTGGAGTCCACGGTTCCGGTAGAGCTGATGGAGGAGTCCGGATGTGGTCACGTCTCCTCAGAACTTCTCACCTGACCTCTGAACTACAAAACTCTGGAAGACCTCCCTCCCCGTGTGACCTGAACCCCCGACAGACAGACAGAGGGACCCGCTGACCCCCGACAGACAGACAGAGGGACCCGCTGACCCCCGACAGACAGACAGAGGGACCCGCTGACCCCCGACAGACAGACAGAGGGACCCGCTGACCCCCGACAGACAGACAGAGGGACCCGCTGACCCCCGACAGACAGACAGAGGGACCCGCTGACCCCCGACAGACAGACAGAGGGACCCGCTGACCCCCGACAGACAGACAGAGGGACCCGCTGACCCCCGACAGACAGACAGAGGGACCCGCTGACCCCCGACAGACATCTCTAGAGACGATCACACGGGAAATATCCGCCTCCATTATAAGGGGGGGAAGATGGCGGGATACATTGTTTCCGGGTGATTTCGGCTCTCCGTACTTCTACTACAATGATCATCCGGAGAAAACACAAACAAACGAGTCAGAACTGAACCCAGCCAATGAATATACAGTATATAGAACCGGGACCGGGTCACTTACTGGCAGCCCGCTGGCGCTGTCCAGGTACACAATCACCATGGCGGTGGAAAAACCGTTCTGAGCCTAAACCGGGACAAGAGACGGGAGAGGTCAGAGGTCATTTATAGCATCACATAGAGAGCAGGAGGGAGAGGTCAGAGGTCATTTATAGCAGCACATAGAGAGCAGGAGAGGTCAGAGGTCATATGTAGCCGCCTATAGAGAGCAGGAGGGAGAGGTCATAGGTCATTTATAGCAGCCTATAGAGCAGGAGAGGGCAGAGTGTCAGAGGTCATTTATAGCAGCACATAGAGAGCAGGAGAGGTCAGAGGTCATATGTAGCCGCCTATAGAGAGCAGGAGGGAGAGGTCATAGGTCATTTATAGCAGCCTATAGAGCAGGAGAGGTCAGAGGTCATATGTAGCAGCCTATAGAGAGCAGGAGGGAGAGGTCATTTATAACAGCCTATAGAGAGCAGGAGGGAGAGGTCATTTATAGCAGCATATAGAGAGCAGGAGAGGTCAGAGGTCATATGTAGCAGCCTATAGAGAGGTCAGAGGTCATATGTAGCAGCCTATAGAGAGCAGGAGAGGTCAGAGGTCATATATAGCAGGATATAGGAATGTCATACACAGTGCAGGAGGGGATAGGAAGGCACATTGCTGCAACTGATTCGGCTACATTGTTCCCGTATTGTAACGTCTTCTGTACAGAGAATCATTGTCAGCAAAGATCAGACGGCGTCCGGGGGCCCCTCTTGTGTAACATTGGGGGAGGGGCTCAGATCTGTCAGATATACGGATTGTTTGGAGTCCACGGTTCCGGTAGAGCTGATGGAGGAGTCCGGATGTGGTCACGTCTCCTCAGAACTTCTCACCTGACCTCTGAACTACAAAACTCTGGAAGACCTCCCTCCCCGTGTGACCTGAACCCCCGACAGACAGACAGAGGGACCCGCTGACCCCCGACAGACAGACAGAGGGACCCGCTGACCCCCGACAGACAGACAGAGGGACCCGCTGACCCCCGACAGACAGACAGAGGGACCCGCTGACCCCCGACAGACAGACAGAGGGACCCGCTGACCCCCGACAGACAGACAGAGGGACCCGCTGACCCCCGACAGACAGACAGAGGGACCCGCTGACCCCCGACAGACAGACAGAGGGACCCGCTGACCCCCGACAGACAGACAGAGGGACCCGCTGACCCCCGACAGACAGACAGAGGGACCCGCTGACCCCCGACAGACAGACAGAGGGACCCGCTGACCCCCGACAGACAGACAGAGGGACCCGCTGACCCCCGACAGACAGACAGAGGGACCCGCTGACCCCCGACAGACAGACAGAGGGACCCGCTGACCCCCGACAGACAGACAGAGGGACCCGCTGACCCCCGACAGACAGACAGAGGGACCCGCTGACCCCCGACAGACAGACAGAGGGACCCGCTGACCCCCGACAGACAGACAGAGGGACCCGCTGACCCCCGACTCACCTCACAAAGCTTTTCATGGTTTGCCACCAGTGACCACCACTCCAGTTTGAGGTGAACGGTTCCGCTGACCACGTCGCTGAGAGGAAACCACTGGAAGACATAAAGGAAGCGGACGGTTACGGTCACCGGGCTGTGTGATGGACTCACCGTACTGGAAGGCGCGGCACAGGAGCCCAGATACACCAAGTGGGGCAATGAGGACTTCCTGCCCA